GTGCAAGAGAGATTGAACCGAAAGAGGCAGTGATAGCAGTCTACCCTGAAACAGCTTGTGTAGCTGTGAAGAATGTTACACAGCTGACTTGAAGGGCAATGAGCTGACTTCCTACGATTAGCCTTTGCAATTGAGATGACACCAGGTTTGTGCTGGGCAATTCAACACTGCTATTCATTAACTGCTATGAATAATGCAAGCAACAGGATGTTTGCCTGTAATAACTAGCCCTGGAATGCCTACACAAATATGGCCATCTGCAGGGGGAAAAGTACAGTCTAAGCTAAACAGTTCTATAGGATGTATGCACATATGTGTGCATATGTGCAAATAAATGTACATATATAGGGGTGGGAATGATAATTGATGTGTTCCAGACCTTATATGTTCTCACTAAGTTATGAAGAACAGACTGAAGTCAGAATCCACTTTTATTTCTTCTAGATCAGCCATTAGCAGCACTGTTACTCTCTTTGGTATGGAATCTAACTTAATCTATATGTGCTACCCATCTCACATCTATTTAGAGACAAAGATATAATAACTTTCAAGACACAGTACAAGTTCCAAAGGCTTCAGGTGCACCTTAAATTAATTTATACCACTCTCTCCAGATAAAGGCCCATTCTGTGTTATTCTTCTACTTACACACATAAAAACCAAAGCATTTACATCTTATAACAGATGAGATTTTTTTGCTCAGGTCTTTTGGGCCCTGGCTCATGCAGAATTCAATAACTTGGATAATGGATTTTAATGATTAACGAGAACATCAATGATTGTACATCAGAAGTCTCTAACTTTCATTTTTTAAAAAATGTTTAAAATATTGATAGGGGGAACTGCCTGATTGGATTAGGTTAAATAGGGATTAATTATAAAAACATACATTCTGTGTGGAGAATGCCCACTGCAGCTTTAATCCCTATGCTCAGAATTTGGTACATAAAGTTTATATGGGTTGCTAATGGATAACACTATTACTCAGATATGTAGGCGGGAAGCTTTTTTAAATGAGTACATTCCTGTTTCATATTAAATAACACTTGGGCTAACATAATAGATGAAGAAAAAGTGAATTATTAACAAATGTTAAGCGGCAAAGAAATGACAAAATAGGGCCTTAATGATTTGTCTACTAAAATAGCTGTCAGGAGGAAAACTTATTTAGGGACTGGATAGATAAACTGACAGGAAGAATATAGTAAGGATGGGGGGAACCTTTTTGTGGAAGACAGGAAGTAACCAAAGTTACTATGATAAGAAAGATGTGAAGTAGTATTTATTTCAATATAATGTTGTAGTAGTCCATCAATCATTTTAGGGAGGTGCTTGAATTATGTTTTATCCTTTCTTTGAACATCTCTCCCCACTTACTTTGTTATTCAAAGGCAATTATATTCATATGATTATGGAACACACATACAAACTAGAGTTGGAAGGGACCTTGGAGGTCTTCTAGTCCAACCCCTGCCCAAGCAGGTGACCCTACACCATTCCAGAGAAATGGCTGTCCAATCTTTTATAAACTTTCAGTGATGGAATACCCACAACTTTTGAAGGCAAACCATCGATTGTCAGAAAATTTCTCCTAGGTTGTCTCTCTCTTTGATATGTTCCCATTTGTTACTTCTTGTTTTCCCTTCAGGTGCTTTGGAGAATAGGTTGACCCTTTATCACAGCCCTTCAAATACTGGAAGACTGCTATCATGTCATCCCTAGCCCTTCTCTTTGCTAGATTAGACATACCCAACTCCTGGAACCATCCATCAAAGGTTTTAGCCCCCAGACTCCTAATGATCTTCTTTGCTCTTCTTTGCACTCTTTCTAGAGACTCAACATCTTTTTTGTATTATGGTGACCTGGACGTAGTATGCCAAGTCTGATCTTACCTTGGAAACCTCGGACAAAGTGACTTAGCGTCTGTTATGACCACTGCATCACATCTGTGGTCGCATTACTGCAGTTTTGGCATGTGGCAATTGGCTTGCACTTACGATGGTTGCAGAATTATTATTATTATTTATTTAATTTTTATACCGCCCTTCTCCTGAAGGACTCAGGGCGGTGAACAGTCAGAATAACATACATATAATGTGAAATAAAAACAATTTAAAATAATTAAACCAATTTGGCTCATCAGTTAAGATCCTCAGCATAGAATTTAGCCAATTTGAAAATTTATGCCAGCCCGGCTTGGTGAAACAGAAAGGTCTTCAGTGCATGACGGAAAGTACGGAGATCTGGGATCATTCGTATCCCTGGGAGTATCCTGTTCCAAAGGGTAGATGCCCCCACAGAGAAGGCTCTCCCCCTGGGAACCACCAGTCGACATTGCTTTACTGACGGCACCCTGAGGAGGCCCACTCTGTGGGAGCGTACTGATTGGTGGGAGGTTATCAGTTGCAGAAGGTGGTCTCGTAGGTACCCAGGTCCTAAGCCATGGAGCACTTTAAAGGTAAGAACCAACACCTTGAAGCGCACTCGGAAGATCACCGGGAGCCAGTGCAGCTCGCGTAGGAGAGGTGTTACATGTGAGCGCCATGTCGCTCCCATAATCACCTGCGTGGCCGCATTCTGGACCAGTTGAAGCCTCCGGGTGCACCCATGTAGAGAGCATTACAGTAGTCCAGTCGGGAAGTGACGAGGGCATGAGTGACTGTGCATAAGGAGTACCAATCCAGAAAGGGACGCAACTGGCAAATCAGGCGAACCTGATAGAAAGCTCCCCTGGGCACAGCCGTCATATGCTCTTCTAAAGACAGCTGCGTGTCCAGGAGAACACCCAAGTTGCAAGCCTTCTCCGTGGGGGCCAATGACTCGCCTCCAATAGTCAATGATGGTATCAGCTGGCTATATTGGGACGCCGGCAGCCACAGCCACTCGGTCTTGGAAGGATTGAGTCGGAGCCTGTTTCTCCCCATCCAGATCCGCAGGGCCTCGAGGCACCAGGACATCACTGCAAGGGCATCATTGGGGTGGAGATGTACAGCTGAGTATCATCAGCGTAAAGATGGCATTGCACCCCAAAACCACGGATGAGCTCACCCAGCGGTTTCACATAAATGTTGAACAGAAGAGGTGAAAGGACCGACCCTTGCGGTACCCCGCAAATAAGGTGTCTTGAAGTCGGCCTCTGCCCTCCTGCCAGCACAGACTGCGACCGGTCGGAGAGATAGGAGGAAAACCACCGTAGAACAGTGCCTTCCACTCCCAGCCCCTCCAGTTGGCGCAGCAAGATACCATGGTCGATGGTGTCAAAAGCCGCTGAGAGATCTAATAGGACCAGGATAGAAGAGCAGCCCCTATCCCGAGCTCTCCAGAGATCATCAACCAATGCGACCAATGCCGTGAATCTTGTGGTGGTGTGATCTGATTTGCAACTTTCCCAGCCAGCTTCCACAACCAAATTCAATTGGGGAAGTTTAACTGGATTACTTTAATGACGGTGTGATTTGCGTAATGACCTCAGTAAAAATGGTGATAAAACCAGGTCCAGTCTATGATTATTCATTTATTATTATTAATTTGATCCACCACCAAATTCTGGCCCCAATTGTTGTACATTTTGACTACTTATTTTTTTTAGACTTAATTGAATGTCTTTTTTCCAGATTAAGAGAGTAAGATCACTTCTATTATTACCCCACAACTCAGGGGTGAAATGCTACCAGTTTGGACTGGTTCAGCCGAATCGGTAGCGATGGCAGTGCAAGGCCCCGCCCAGTCGTTACTTCCTGGTTTTAACCAGGAAGTAACCTGTTTTTTACCCTCTGCGCATGCACACGCGGTGCGTGCACTTCCGAACTGGTAGGGAAGGTAAGTAGATTTCACCCCTGCCACAACTCTATGATGTGCCAAGGAAACTTTGCCTTAAGTCTCCAAGTAAGCCTCCATGGCTTGAGTGGCCTCAGCACAGGGGTAAAATCCAGCAGGTTCTGACAGTTTTTGGAGAACCGGTAGCGGAAATTTTGAGTAGTTCGGGGAACCGGCAAATACCACCTCTGGCTGGCCCCAGAGTGTGGTGGGAATGGAGATTTTGCGATATCCTTCCCCCAGGAGTAGGGAGGGAATGGGGATTTTGCAGTATCTTTACCCTGGAGTGGGGTGGGAATGGAGATTTTGCAGTATCCTTCCTGCTATGCCTACCAAGCCACACTCACAGAACCGGTAGTAAAAAAAATTGGATTTCACCACTGTCTCAGCATCTAGGTCTCCTGAGCCCCCCTCCAATGCCTAAACTAATATTATTAATTCTTGTTTATTAATGTAAAGTTGTCTGGATTTTTTTAAATGGAGAGCATGTGACACATCTTCAGCAGTTGGTCTCAGATGTCATGAAGGGCAGCAATGTTTGCTCTATTCTGCTCTCTCAGGACAGAAGCTCATGTCCATTTCCCCTTTAGTACTTGTTTAAAGGGGTGCAGTTTTCTGTGTACATAGTGTGCATTTTTGCACAGAGCTCCCCAGGTGGGAGAGGTCCCTGGAACAACAGCAGGTTGACTGGAATTTTTTGTGACTAAAAAGGGCTGCTTTTTCTGAGGGGGCAACATAGGATGACGGGAAGGCAGAAAAGCATACTGTAGTCTAACTGAAGCATTAAGTGCAATTCCTCTGGGGGGGGGGAGCCTAACTTTTAAAGATGTGTTTCATTTATTTAAATAATTAAATTTGTGCGTCACCCTTCTCCCCACAAGGCCAATACAGGTCTGTATGTATAAAATTGCAATAAAAGACAAGTTATAACTATGAGGAGGAAGAAGGGAACATTTATTGCAAATAAACGTAATTTCTTTACGTTTGCATTACGTCTTGGAAGGAAGGGGTTCTATTTCGGGCCTCAGCAGACCTTTGGGGAAGGGCCTGGCGAGATCGGTTAGAGAGGATCCTGCAGCTGTGCTGAGTTCCCGAGTGCCCTCACGGCACACGCTTTCTGAGAATCCAGCGGAGAGAATCCAGCGGCGGCGGCGTGGGAAAGAGCGCGGGAACAGACGGGCTCTGTCGAAGTCCGGATAGAGGAAGCGTGCACGCGCGTGCCGCCGCTGCAGCAGCTCTCCCTCGATTCCGCCAGGGGGCGGGGTGGACGAGGCGGTCCCGCGGCGGCGCTGGGCCTCGGCTGAGGGGCGGCATGGGGCTGTGAGCTCAGGCCCCGCGCTCGCCATGCCAGGGAAAGCCCAGCACTTCCAGGGTCCTCAGGTCAGCTGCTGCGCCAAATACCTGCTCTTCGCCTCCAATGTGCTCTTCTGGGTGGGTGAGCGCGAGCAAGCGAGCGAGTCGCGTCCCGCGGAAGCGGTCGGTCGGTCGGTCGGTCGGAGCGGCGCTTGCACCGCGCTCCCACCTGGACGGAGGGGAGGAGGAGGCGGCGGCCAGGACGGATGGAGCGACTGGGCTTTGGCTGCTGTTCCCACGTCCGTGGCGTTTGCAGTGAAGTCCGGGGTCTGGGGGCGGCGGGTGGGAGGTCGGTCGGTCGGTCGGTCGGTCGGTCGCTGGCTTCCTGGGAAGAGAGGAAGGGAAGCTGCCCTTCGCCTAGCTAGCTGCGGAATCCTTGGCAAAGGCTCGTCACGCCAGGCGGGTGCTCGCGGGGTCCGGTTGGTCCCGCGCCGCGTTGAGCGTGGCGGATTCGGCGCTCGAAAGTTTTTGGGCAAGGACGTCCTTTGGTTCCCACCAAACCTCTCGCTGCGCCCGGTCTGTATCTGAAACCCGGCCGCTGTCTTGCTCCGAGTCTAGCGCCTGTTCCTGCTTCGATTTCTCGGCAATTTCCAGCAGAAGCAGGAAAAGGTTTTCCTACCATCAAACGTGTAACCCTTTGCCTGTCTGTTTCTGACACAGCATTGTTTTCTCCTATCACCCTCCTCTTGGGGGGAAAAAGTTATGACTGTATTTAGCAGTGTGTTGGCTTCGATTCACCGCCGGCATCGTTTAGATCTTTTCCTGAAAAGCCAGTTCCTTTAGTAGACCTGCACTCTGAAGTTCCTTAATCCCTTTGTTTTGAGGAAATTCATACTGCGAAAAAAAAAGTACAGCTGCCCCACCTCATTCTTTCTTGCATGTATTTTACATAATGTCTATTGTAAACCCCAGGACTTGTATGTATCTTAATTTGGGCTCACCTTCATACCTGGTGTTGAGGCCTGATGTGGTTGTCACATATTTTCTGAACTCTCCTCACTGAGCTTTGTAAATATGGATTATGGCAGCATGACTTGTTCAACAAACTCTGGTTCAACAAGCCATGACTTAGCACATTGTTGTAACTCCCAATCTATCTTTTATAGGTTGTTGGATGTAGCTGGGATCCCGGCTGCATAAATATTTACTAAATGATTATTACAACAATGTGATAATGAACTATTATATAATAATAAATGTGTGGGTATTCTGCAGTTACATTCGTAGTCTAAGTAGTGGAAATTTAATAGTTCAAGTCCTAATCAAGGACCTAAGTATTATTACGGTAACATTTAAGGAAACATTATAGCAGTGGTCCTCAGCCTTTTTGGCACCAGGGACTGGTTTCGTGGAAAACAATTTTTCCACGAATTGGGGGGGGGGGGAGGAGGAGTACACAACCTAGATCACTCACCCGCACAGTTTACAATAGGGTTTGCAAATTTGCGTTCCTCTGAGAATCTAATACCTGATGATCTGAGGTGGAACTGAGGCGGCTGCAAATACAGATGAAGCTTTGCTCACTCACCCACCGCTCACTTCCAGCTGTATGACCTGGTTCCTAACAGTGGGGACCCCCTACTGCATAGGCAGTTTCAAGCAGAGTGGAGTGTTGTTTTTATATAAAATTAGGATGTTCAGGTCTGATAAATTCAATAGATTAATAATTTAATTAAATAATAGTATCATAAATTATTATGGTTCGTTGCATAGTTAGCAAGATGTAAAAACTGGATTTGGCATTTTCATCCACTTATTGGGTCCTTCTCAAGGACCTGGGATAACAGATGTTGAAGTTTGATGGGGCTAAAAGAAATGTCGCAGGATTTAAGCTGTTCTGAGTAAAGCTGCCTTTTGCAATTGACTGAATTGAATTTGTCAATGCCGATGGTGTTTAAGCGGTGCTCCAATTGTTTTGGTACTGCACCTGTGGTGCCTATTACTATTGGTACTATCTTTGTTTTCTTTTGCACTTGTGTATTTGTATACCAGATTGCCTACTCATGACTTTCATTGCATGTTTAGTTTTGTCCCTAAAGGACAATTATGATGTACGGTAATTGTGTTATATTGTGTGAAGGGAGTTTGAGAACAACAGTTGATTGTAGTAGTTTTGATTTTTTTCCCCTTATTTTGCTGGTCCTGTTTGAATCAGAATTATCTCATCTTGAAGTAGATGCCTATATTCATCTAGCAAACAGATTAATTTGAGACATTTCCATACCGTATCTCCTATTTAATAGATACTGCTAGGCAATACACATCTTATCCAATATACAGTATGCTCCTCTATCTTCTGTTTATTTTACAGTATATACTTATAAATATTTAACTTATACATAAAATATTTATTTTGCATAGTAAATAAGTAGTACTAGAAATTAGTAATGAATTATTTTACTACTTATAAATGCTTCACCATGCAGATTAAACAACAAAATCAGCAAAAGATAAACACTCATAAACTAGCAGTTGTCAACAGCACTTGGAAATTAACAGAAATTAAAACTGTTAGATCAAAATCCTCATTATCAAGGTAAAAACAGTGTTAATTTTATAGCTTCTGTAAAAAACAAATTACAGATTTTTTTCACAATTGAACAATTTTTTATGAACTTTATTTGGGTGCTACGGAGAGTTCCAGCAGGGAAGACTATCTGAAGTGGCCAAAATTGTGCAAGGTTTAGGACTAAACTAAATCTGTTGACAAGCAGGGTGAGGCATATCTGGTGAATTTCTGATCAACAGAGGATCTTGCAGACCAGAAAAAATGGGCTATGGTTGCTTTTTGGGTGCAATGTTCCTCAGGGATACAAATAAAGCTTTAACCTGCATGATGAATTTATGAAACATAGAATTGTCTTATTACTAATTTGCATCATTGTTGGATTACTTATCAAATCAATTTGGCTTTAATTTATTTGTGGCGAGGTTTAATTTCAATTCGAATGCAAGTAAAAACCTGCAATGGCTGTCTTCTAGAATGACTTTTGTCAAGAAATGAGTATATGGGGAGCAAATAAAAAACCAAGTGATTTCTGTAGGTAATCTCTCCATGCGCCTGATCCATCCCCACCAGTAGTGGTTTTCACTTACCTTCGCTACTGGTTCGGGACTGTGAGCGCTTGCTTCGCTCACGTACGGCGCTTCTGCGCATGCAGAGAATCTTTTGCTCATGTGCAGACCATCCATGATGACGTCGGGGCGGATGGGCGGAGCCTCCCACCGCCGCCACTACTGGTTCACCCAAACCGGGCCAAACTGGTAGAAACCAACCACTGATCTCCACCCCCTCGCACATCATAGAATTTGGAGACACTGACCTGTTTTTGTAACACCAGGCCATTGCTTTCAGTATGTATTCCTCATTGTATGCCTGCTTATTCTCTTGCAATCCCTTCCTCTCCAATGTATATAAATACAAGCATTAATTAGTTAATTAAGAGCCAGTTTGGTCAAGTGGTTAAGGTGTTAGCTTAGAAACTAGGAGACTGTGAATTCTAGTCCTGCCTTAGGGATGAAAGATGACTAGGTGAACTTGAGTCAGTCATTCTCTTTTATTCCAACCCACCTCACAGAGTTGTTGTTATGGGGAAAATAGGAAAGGAGTATTATGTATGTTTGCCACCTTGAATTACTTGTAAAGTAATAATGGCTGGGATAAAAATCTAACAGATAAAGAAATACTTTCCTTCTTGTTAATTATCCTAGTGTCAGAGTGAGCAAGGGAGTGGTTAGGAGGGAAACAAAAGCAGAAAGTATGAAACTGAATAGTCTTGTCAGTTTTGAGCCAGAAAGAACAATTGCGGTCATGTGATTTCCTACTGAGTAGCCATTTTGCTTAGCAATGGATATGCTGGTCCTAATTGTGGTTACTATGCAAGGGCTACCTGTATATGGGGGTGTGGGGAATATAGCGAATTGCTTTCCAACTTTGGAGCCATTTTTAGGACTCCAAATAGGTTAATAATTGAGAGCTGAATGATCTTATGGAATGTCTAATTCTGTATTGAAGCATTATACTCTGTTTTAGGAAGGAAACGCTATGGTTGCTGATCTGTGAGCCTAATAAATTATAGTGACAGAATAGAAGCTCCTTATTTATTATGCAGAATATTTATCTTTCCTCTAGAAGATTTACTGGTTTCGTACAACATACACCTACTTTCCTCTCTTTTTTTTGCTTCCTCCCACTCATAAAGAAGAACTGTGCCCAGTTTGAACACTGCTATTGTAATTACTTACAGGTTGATGGAAAAACCAAAGGAGAAAAATAAATCAAAAAGACATAAACACCAATATTTTGTATACATCAAGGACATGATCAGAGCAAGTTGGCAAGAAAATATGTTAAAACAATGTTTGCCAAATAAAAATTAAATTCCGCCAGATACTGAAACTCACCAGAAAATGAGAAATTAATATTGGGAGAAATGTCGATTCAGCTTCTCCAAGATCCATTTGAAAGAATCATTGCCAAGTGCAGTCTTCCAGATGTGTGGGGACAGCAGTTTCCAGAACTCCTAATCAGTATTGGGGGATGCAAAGCTAGGAAAGATTAACAAGTGAATTTTCATATTGGCTATGAGTTGGCAGGAACCGATTGTTTAGATCAGTGATGGGATTCAAATTTTTTTACTACCAGTTCTGTGGGCATGGCATGGTGGGTGTGGCTTGGTGGGCGTGGCTGGGGAAGGATACTGTAAAATCTCCATTCCCTCCTCACTCCAGAGGAAGGTTACTGCAAAATCTCCATTTCCTCCCGATTAGCTGGGACTCAGGAAATAGAGAATAGATGGGGGCAGGGCCAGTCAGACGTGGTATTTACCGGTTCTCCAAACTACTCAAAATTTCCACTACCAGTTCTCCAGAACTGGTCAGAACCTGCTGAATACCACCTCTGGTTTAGATGCAGAATATAGAATAACAGAATTGGAAAAGATCTTGGAAGTCCTGTAGACCAACCCTCTGCTCAAGCAGAAGACCCTGTACCATTCCAGACAAATGGTTATCTATTCTCTTCTTTAAAACCTCCAGTGATGGAGTACCCACAATTTTTGGAGGCGAGCCATTCCACTGATGTTCTGTCAGGTAATTTCTTCTTAATTTTAGATTGCCACATGATGTGATGGCTTAAGGCAAGGCTGTCAAACTTGTGATGACACATCATCATGTGACTTATCGCAACTTTCCCCCCTTCACTAAAATGGAGGTGGGGATGGCCAGCGCGTGACACATCCGGTCTACGGGCCGCGAGTTTGACACCCCTAGCATAAGGCATAAGGAAAAGAAAAATGTTAAAGTCAGAAAGAGATTCCTTAAAATTGATGGGAAATAAGAACAGCCCAAATAATATTTCCAGCTTTTTCTTGACTGTAGCCTGGGGCTTTATGTTTTTTACAAGAAAACGTTACTGAGTGAATTTTATATTTTTAGTTATGCACAATATAGATTATATTTGTGTGAGTCGGCAAGTGATGGCTAACTGGCATTATTGAATTGGAATGAAATTTTTGGCGTAGAAGTTTCATGTGAGAAAACTACCTAAGAATATTTGCTTATTTGTTTATTAGATTTTTGTTCCTGCCTTTATTACTTTATGATATCAAATCAAATAAGTGAAAAACTAGGATTTGAGGTTTGGCATTCTTCTGATATTAGACTTATATTTTAATCTTATTTTTACTAAGGTGAATGTGAAGTGAATTTCAAATACGATTCTGATTTTGTATCCAGAATTAATAAGATTCTGGATACAAATAAAACATAGTTTTCCCATTTTCATGTTCGGGGAGATTGTGGTCTAAGCTATCCATGAGAGAACTATTGAGGATGCTTATTATTATCTTAATGATTTCTTATTAAACCAATATAATTATGTCTACATTGGTCCTATTTTTAATATTATTCTGCATATTGTATTGTTTCTTTGATTCCTGGTGTAGATTGGCCTTGTATAAGGCCGATTTCTGAATTCTTCACATTCCACCTATTGAGATAGCACTCACAAAGCCCCATAGGCAATGGCAAACAAATAGCAATTGACATTGAAAGAGGGCAGGGTTTATTCTGTGGGCAGGGGAAGAACTCTGATCAATGCTGCTGCTGTTTTAGAAATGTTCCATTCTTACAATGGGAACAGTATAGCGATTGTCTATACACAGTGCTAAGTTTGCAACTGCTCCAGATGATGTGTTTTCAGCCTTCTGTTTTCCAAGGCTCTCAAGTTAGACTCCATATCCAAATGATGGGTATCCTGCTAGTGTTAATGGGGTGGCAAATGACAAGGATTTAGTTTGATCTAGCTTATGTATACAACCATAAAGTTGGCTTTGCTTGGTTGGAGAAAATTAAGATTCATACTCGGGTATTGACTCTATGGAGACAGGCAAAATCTCTTTGCTAAGCGAGACAGTTGTTAAGTGAGTTTTACACCATTTGATGACCTCGCTTGCCACAGTTAAGTGAATCACTGCAGTTGTTAGTAACACGGTTGTAAAGTGAATCTGGATTCCCCATTGTCTTTGCTTGTAAAGGGGATCACGTGACCCTGGGACATTGCAACCGTCATAAAAATGAGTCAGTTGCCAAGCATCGAGATTTTGATCACGTGACCATGGGGATGCTGCGAGTCATAAGTGTGAAAAACGGCACTTTTTTCAGTGCAGTGTAACCTTGAATGGTCACTAAATGAATGGTTATAAGTCAAGGACTACCTCCACATATATTGATAGAATGGAGTGCAAATAATTGGCAATTTCTTTATGCCAAAATAGGTTTTTGTTTAACTTGCCTTTAAACTTCCAGTTTTTGTTTTAATTCATACCCTGGCAAACTAGAATATCTCCTCTGAAGAAATAGACCTTATCTGAGTCTAGACCCTTCAGTGTGCAAGCCAGTTACCTTATTTCTTAATCTTATTTTTCACTAATCCTGTGAATAGAAGATGAGTCAGCATAAGAGGCAAACATTGGGGTGAATCATGATCTGTCTTTCTGCAGAAAACTATAAAATGAGGAAGGCGTTGTGCCATTCTTTATCAGGTCCACGTGAAAGACCACGTCTACACATGAAGGTTTAATTAAGTTGATATATTGCTAAAAGCCTATGCACAAGAATCTTCTCAAGTAACATTCAGCATCTCCTTAAAGTTAGAGGGTCCACAGTACTTAAGGGGGTGGGGGTGGAATTTGTGGTTATGTAGGGATTCTAAGCGGATCCCTCTTTTGGGCCCCTCCCCCTGGCTCTGCAGTCCTTCTACATTCTTAGTATAGAGCTAAATTGCTCCCTGTTCTTATCCTATGCATGATGGTGGCCTTTTCTCTTTTGCAGTTGCTGGGGGCAGCTTTCCTAGCCATTGGTTTGTGGGCTTGGGCAGAAAAGGTAAGTATGGCCAGGAAGGGAATTTTTTTTCTGTTTGCTATATCTGATCCCATCTTGGTATCCAGATAATAAATTGTTCTGGTATGAGTATATGAACCATACCTGGATTATGTGAATTGGACAAATTATTCACATATCTTGTTGTCTGAGCCCTTTGAAGATATCACTTCCCTGCTGGTTCCTTACACTGAATTGATGGAAATTTCTTTTCGCCTTACTTGCTTTTTTTAAACACATAGCTGTTAACATTTATTAATATTTATTTTACTTATTTTATGAAAAGAATAGTTAAGATTCAAATTTGGAATAAAAAGTAAAAGATGACAGAACAAATACTTATGCTGTAATCTTAAACATACATTGTATATAGATTTTAACTGGTATCAGCAAGTAAATTGTATTTAATTTCTGGGATTTAAGCCTTTATTAAGCATTTGATGAGGGGGATTTTTGCACCCATCAGAGTTTTAGAAACATTGATGAATTTTTTTTTTTGATAACCCATGATCAACCTAGATATAACTGTAGAAATATAATGTTTTTCACCCAAGGGCTACCTTTGGTTTTATAGTGGAATGCTGTGGACCAGCCTTCAGAAAATAGTGGGGTGGCTCCAGGAAAATGTTAAGTTTTATTGAAATTCAATAAAAATATGCATAATTAATTCAGTAGTTTAGTTACATGTAGGAATTGAAATTTGCTAACCATTTTTTGGAATTTTACTCGACTTTGGGTCTGCACGCAACCTGGGGAGTTGGCTAAAAATACACATTTGAATGAAATGTGTAGATTATATTACTGGATCAAATAATGAGTCCTTCTGGTCTAACACTATTTACAATTAGCCAGCTAAGTGCCCATGGGGAGCTAAGGAGCAAATTCTTTTGAATATAAGAACTTTTCAGTTGTTTTCTATATACTTGTTTTTCAGAGTTTCACTATCTCTGTACATGTAAATTTCATTCAGGTGCCTTTTGTTTTCCCACCCTCCATTTGTTCAATCATTTTTATAGCTTAAGTATGAGCCTAGAACACAATGAACTGTGCTGAGTCAGGTCTTTGAGAACATGTGCTGAGCAATAGCTGGTGAGCCTCATCATGTTATATCTTTTGTCTCCAGTCATTTCACATACTACCAGCACACTTTGATTTTCTGAAACCAAATATAAAATAACATTTATATATATTCTCCCTCCCCCATGCCTGACCATTTCTATTTTGTGAAAAAGCAGTGTAGATTGTGGTCATTGGAATGATTTCCTATTGAGAATGGCTCACCTTCCCATTTGCCACCAACAGTATTGCTTGATGCAGTTCTCCAACGAGAGGAAAAACGTCAGTCAGGATGGGTATACGTCCCGTCTAGCCAATGACCGAGCACCTTCCAAAGCCAAACTCCGCCCCCTTCGAGGCTGCCCCAGTTCTTCGTCTCGGTCTTCGCTAGACAGGACGTGTCCTCCTCTGACTGTTTTTTTCCTCAGCTTCAATTAGCTCCTATCGCTGTTCCGATCTCCATTCTAAACGGCAAGTGACTTTCTCGCTCCTGCAGGCTTCGTGCCTTGCTTCAGGGCGAGTTTTTGTTTTTTTCCTCTATTTGATTGCTGCGCTGAAAAGGCCGTTGCCTAGCAGCAAATTGCCGGCGCTAGAAGCCGTGCGCCCTCTCCCTGAGTCGCGTTTAGAGCCGGACGGCTAGCGACTGAAGAGCGCTCCTTTTCCCAGCTGATCGGCGCAGAGGGCGATCGGAGAGATAAGGCTGGAGCGGACGCTCGCCTTTGAAGCCTAAACAGAGCTTAGAGCTAACGGCAGTGAAGCGCGCCCTCTCTCTCATCATTTGATTGGCGCAGGGGCTCATTAGGGAGGATCGGGCTGTAGTGATCTCTCCCCTTACCTGATTGACTGTGAGGGCTAGGTGCTGCGAAGTGTGGATAGCCCTCTCCCTGCCGATTGTTTCCCTGAGCTACTAGGCCCTATTTTCTTCTGTGGACGCCATTTCACTGTATCTGGCCTTTCAAAATGGCGGCCGCCATGCGGAGCTCCGATGGGCCTACTTCCTCCTCTCGTAGGCGCCATCCCAGCGATCCCCTCGAGGGACCTTCTACTTCTCTACCTCCTCCAAGCAAAAGATCCCGCTCCACCAGGGATAAGGCCCAGTCCTCAAGGGCCCAATCCTCCAAGTCGGGATCTTCCCGGGAGGAACAGCGCAGGCACAAGGCTATGGAAAAGGCCTTTTTAAAGGCGCAGACTCAGGCCCAGCATCCAAACCACTCTTCATCTCTGCCTCCCTCACGGCCTTGCTCGCCTCGTTCTATCAGGGAGCTCTCTCCGGACATTAGGGATGTCCCTCCAACGGTTTCGCCTTCGGAGCCCCAGAGATTATTTCAAACCATTCAGGATTCCAATCATCCTTCGGCCTTGCCTCCTCCTCCTCCTCCTCCTCCGGCCTTATCTTCTCCAATGACTGCTTCCCTGGAGGCTTTCATATCCAGGGCAATCCGTCAGTCGATTGTGGATTGCCTGAATCAAGCGCCTGCGGCTACCACTTCAGGAGTAGCTCCACAGACCCTTCCTGAGGCCCCGGAGGATTCCTTGCTGGACCAGGAACATTCTGTTCCCCAGGTTGCTCTTGACCAAACTTCTGTTTCGGACGGTGAGGAGTATCTAGATCAAGCCTGGTCAGATGATGAAGGCCTGGGGCCCGACCAGCCGGCCTTTATTGGTCTTTTTAAGCCACAGCTCTTCCGCTCCCTGCTGTTTAAGGCCATTGCTGTTACCCGTTTGGGTTCTCCTCCCTCTGCTGTGCCATCGTCATCAACTTCAGATACGGCAGCGGCTATGTTTGCAGAACCTACCAGCGAGCCTGACACCATCCCAGCTCCAAAGCTTTTTACAGATGTCTTGCATCGCCAGTGGGCCTTACCAGGGGCTGGTCCTAGCCCTAACGGACTGGACAAGCGTCTTTACAATTCTGCCTCGCCATTGGCGGATATTTTACAAGCCCCGACCGTTGACCCTCCTATCGTGGCTTTGAATGATACTTCTCATCCTGCGGGTCCTCCTGAGGACTCCCTCAGACCTGAGGACAAGAGGGCGGAGAAAACTCTCCTGAAGGGTCACCAGCTACGGCCTGGTCTATCCGGGCTTCAACATCTGCCTCTTTCTTCAATCGAGCAGCCCTCCTATGGCTGAAACAGCTGCAAGCCAGGCTTCCTCTTTCGGACGCACGGTCTCATCAAGACCTTAATAAGATTGCTGCTGCATTGGAATATTCGGCGGATGCCACCTTGAATTCCACTCGTTTCTCTGCCAGGGCCCTGGGTTCTAATGTGACATCTTGCCGTCTCTTGTGGCTGAGAAATTGGCAGGCCGATGTACGCAGTAAATGGCAGCTGGCTTCGGCTCCTTACACCAGTGGCTCCCTCTTTGGTTCAGCTCTAGAACCCTTGCTTGTCGAGACCAGGGATCGCCGGAAGATTCTTCCCCCTACTAGTCGTCGTTCTGATTCCCGTTTCTCCTCTTCACGATATCAGCCCTTTCGGACCTCTGGTTTCTCTTCCTTTCAGCCCCGGGGACAACGTTCCTTTCCTTCCAGACCCCAACAGGAACCCCAGGTCAGGCAGGGGCCCAGGTTTCCCCCTCGGAAACCTTTCCGGGGTGGCAGGGGGGGTCGTTGGTCTCGAAGGGGCAGATGAGCAGTTTTTCCAGGCCCCTATTGGAGGTCGCCTTTCCTTATTTCACGATCAGTGGGCTTCTTCCATCAATGATTCCTGGGTTCTTAACACAATTTCCCTTGGTTTGTCATTAGAGTTTTCCTCCCTCCCACCCTCCCGTTTTATTTCTTGCCCCGTTTCTCGTGATCCGGTTAGAGCAGGGATTGTTTCAGCGGCTATTGAACATCTGTTACAAATTGCCGCCGTCGAGAGGGTCCCCCCTTCTCAACAGGGCCATGGGTTTTATTCCCGCCTTTTTGTTGTCCAGAAAGCTTCAGGTGGCTGGCGTCCCATTTTAGACTTGAAGGCTTTGAACCGGCACATTAAATACCGCCGGTTCAAAATGCACTCTCTTTCCTCTATTCTTGAGTGCATTCGCCCTTCTGATTTTCTTTCGTCTATTGACCTAACAGATGCTTACCTGCATGTTCCCATTTTGCCTTCCCATCGCCAGTTTCTCCGATTTGCCTTTAAAGGGTTGCATTACCAATATAAGGCCTTACCCTTCGGGCTTTCCTCGGCCCCCAGGGTATTTACTAAGATCATGGCCTCGTTAATTGGATTCATAAGATCACAGACAATTCGCCTTCAATTTTATTTAGATGACATATTAGTTATGTCTCCTTCCCTTCAAGCAGCCCAGCAGGACTTGTCCTTGGTTCTGTCCGCCCTTCAGTCACATGGTTTTTCCATAAATTGGTCCAAGAGCCATTTGACTCCTTCTACCACCATCCTTCATTTAGGTGCCTCCATTGATACTATTTCCTCCACCGTTTGCCTTTTGCCGGAACGCCAGTCCAATATCCGTGCTTTAACGCTTCAATGTCTTACGGCTGGCTCGGCATCTGTTCTCCTCCTTTCCCGTCTTTTGGGAATGATGGTTTCCACGTTCGGCATTACACCCTGGTCACGTTTGCATAGTAGAGAGCTTCAATGGCTCCTATTGCCCTTTCAGCGTGCGGACTTGGATTCCTCTTCCCGTCGTATAAATATTCCTCAACCTGTCCTCCAGTCTCTTCTCTGGTGGCTTTCTCCTGCTTTATCCCGGGGGTCTTCCTTCAGAGAACCTCAGAGACTCCAGCTTACTACGGATGCGAGTCTCTCTGGCTGGGGGGCACATTTGCAACATCACATTGCTCAAGGTCGGTGGACCTCGCAGGAATCTCTTTTCAGTATTAACTTGTTGGAATTAAGAGCCATCCGGCTCGCACTGTTACAGTTCCATGATTTAGTGGTTGGCAGACATGTGTTGGTCCTAACCGATAATACTACGGCTAAGGCCCATGTAAATAGATTGGGAGGCACTAGGTCTCATTCTCTGATGGACGAGGCCCATTTGTTGGGCTTATGGGCCGAGGAACATCTGGCTTCCATCCGAGCGGATTACATTTCTGGATCCGACAACGTCCAGGCCGATTCCCTCAGTCGCTCGCAGGTGGACCAGGGCGAGTGGGCTATCTCTCACGACCTCTTCCAGGATATCGTTTCTAGATTTGGCTGTCCGGTTGTGGATTTATTCGCCTCTCGTATGAACCATCGTCTTCCCTGTTATTTTTCCAGGTTCCTGGATCTGCAGGCGGAAGCCATGGATGCCCTTCGCAGCCCGTGGCCTTCGGGACTCTTATACGCCTTCCCTCACCTTCCATTAATTCCCAGGGTCGTTCGGAAATTGCTCGAGGAGCAGGCTCAGCTCCTCCTGGTAGCTCCATTCTGGCAGATGCACCCCTGGTTTGCGGACCTGATGGACCTTTCAGTGGCTCCTCCTTGGCGAATCCCTGTCTCCAAGGTCATCCTATCACAAGGACCCCTCATTCATCCGAACCCGGGGTGGCTTCGCTTAACCGTCTGGCGGTTGAGCGGCTCCTTCTGACGGGGGCCAGGATTCCGCCTGAGATCGTCTCCATTATCCAAGCTGCCCGCAGACCTTCTACCGTCAGGATTTATGAAGCTACTTGGCGGTCCTTTGTCTCATGGTGTTCATCGGTTCCAGTTTTACCTACTTCAGCTTCAATTATCCACGTTTTGATGTTCCTTCAATCGGGGTTTCGCAAAGGGCTTCGTCCCAATACGTTACGACGCCAGGTGGCCGCCATTGCTTCTGTCTTGTCCTGCGGTTCGAAGGATCCTATCTCTCGCCATCCAGTCATCACGACCTTCCTGCGGGGAGCTACCAATTTACGGCCGCCCACGGTGCATCGGTTTCCAACGTGGAACTTGAATAAGGTTCTTAAGGCTCTCATGGCTCCTCCCTTTGAGCCTCTTCATTCGGTCTCTCTACGTTTCCTTTCGTTGAAAGTGGCATTCTTGGTGGCTATCACTTCCTCCCGCAGGATTTCGGAACTGGCAGCATTATCTGTCCGGGCGGACCTTTGTATCTTCCATACCAATAGGGTGGTTCTCCGGCTTGACCCGGCCTTCGTGCCTAAAGTAAATTCGACCTTTCACAGGGCACAGGAGCTCGTTCTCCCAGACTTCTGCCCTCGCCCTGCCCATCGGCTGGAGAGGGCTTGGCATTCGTTGGACGTCCGCCGGGCGCTGAAGATTTATATTGCCCGTACGGCCGCGCACCGAAAGACGGAGGCTGTTTGTTGCCTTCCTCCCTTCCTCTCTAGGAGTGCGCGTATCGAGTGTGACCTTGGGTCGTTGGATCAGAGCCGCAATTGCTGTGGCTTACCGACAGTCGGATTCCCCTCTGCCGCATCCCATCACGGCTCATTCTACGAGGAGCGCCTCAACATCGGCAGCCTGGGCTACTCAGGGTTCCCTCGAGGAAGTTTGCCGAGCGGCCACATGGACTACAATCAGTCCCTTCATCAGACATTACAAGGTGGATTCCTTTGCTTCTGCTGACGCTGCTTTCGGCAGGAGAGTTCTACAGTTGGTTCATGTCTCTTGAGGACTACCGAACCACTTTCTTCCCTCCCTGGTGACATCTGACTTTGGTATGTCCCCATCCTGACTGACGTTTTTCCTCTCGTTGGAGAATGGACGTTGGTCTTACCTGATACGTCCGTTCTCGACATGAGGAAAAACGTCAGTCAGCCCCGCCCTTGGATTCGTTCCGGTGGTGGTTGGGGGGGTGATATTAATTCTCTCTTGTTTCAGGAGGACACGGAGCACAACTTCATCGCTTCGCCTCACCGAAGAACTGGGGCAGCCTCAAAGGGGGCGGAGTTTGGCTTTGGAAGGTGCTCGGTCATTGGCTAGACGGGACGTATACCCATCCTGACTGACATTTTTCCTCATGTCGAGAACGGACGTATCAGGTAAGACCAACGTCCATTTTCATGACAAACAGCAGCCGAGAGGTGGAGGATTTTCATTTGGAAACTGGCACTGAGCCCAGATGAGAAGGACATTATAGTTTGTTTATTTACTTATTTACAGAAAAGTATGTATTGCTCCCCTCATAGTACTCCAGGTGGATTACATAATTACATAAAAATCATATTAAAATAAAATAGCATAATTATATGCTGTCCTCCCAAATAGCTGCTCAATCATTATAACTTCCCAAAAGAAACTAAAATCAATCACCAAACATCCAATTACCACCTTGCAAAATGTCACCGAAGAGGATGCTAGGTGTAGCACAGGTGTACCACTATCTTTGGCTTCGTGTCCTTGTCATCTGATGCAGAGAATGGAACAGTTGGACCCTGAGGGTATCCGGGAGCCAAAACCATGCGGTTTTATAGAACAAAATCAGCCCTTTAAATTAAAATTGGAAAGCTGTTAGTAACCACTGCAGCAACAAAGAACAGGATGTTTTTGCCTGCTAGAATTCTGGCTACTTAAAAGCAGCCTAGAATTCTGGCTACTTAAAAGCAGCCTACTTAAAAAAACAGCTTATTTTCCTTTCTGCACCTGTTCACTTTTTCTTTCTCATCACTTTATTTATATGTATATGTAACATTTTAAAAAAATCATTTACAATGTAAATAAATATGGCAGAATACATGTGTGTGTTTAAAAACTATGCAAATTCTTCTGGGTAAGCTAAGGTTTGAGAGTTCCTTGGTGCTCTCTTGAGCTTGCGTGTTTTCTTGCAGACGTTTCATTACCAAAACTAGGTAACCTCATCAGTGCAAGTCTAAGCTAAGGTTTGCTCAGTTAATTCCCTTTCTGGCTTTGTGATTAATGTACCACTTCCTTATCCAACCAATCTGTAGAGCTGGAAATTATTCCCAGAATTTCCAGTCAGGAATCTGCATATACACTGCTCAAAAAAATAAAGGGAACACAAGCAGAAGACATCCGAGATCTGAATGAATGAAATAGCCTTATGAAATACTTTGTTCATTACATACAGTAGTTTTGTGTTCCCTTTTGAGCAGTGTATAAACTACTGTATGTAAAGAACAAAGTATTTAATAAGGCTATTTCATTCATTCAGATCTCGGATATCTTTTGCTTGTGTTCCCTTTATTTTTTTGAGCAGTATATTTGAAAGGTACCAAGTTGGGGGAGGCCGATATAAATATATAGGTTTTTTTTTAATTTGATTTATATGCTGCCCTTCTCCGAAGACTCAGGGCGGCTTACAATGCATTAAGCAATAGCCTTCATACTTTTGTATATTTATACAAAGTCAGCTTATTGCCCCCACAAACTGGGTCCTCATTTCACCTACCTTAGAAAGGATGGAAGGCTAAGTCAACCTTGAGCCTGGTGAGATTTGAACTTGCAGTAATTGCAGGCAGCTGATGTTAATAACAGTGCTTTAGTCTGCTGTGCTACCAGTTTACCCTTCACACACCATCAGGCAGTTGGTATAGTAACTATTATGTACGTAACCTCAACAATGGAAATTCTATGCCATTGTTTTTTTTTTATTCATCCATATATATATATATATAGGAAAACTGATTTTTGCTAGAGGGAATTTGGCTGTGGTGTCACCTTCAGCTTTGTGTTTTTGTCTTTCTCTATCCCTATCCAGGGCGTACTTTCCAATCTCTCATCCATCACAGACCTCGGTGGCTTTGATCCAGTCTGGCTTTTCCTCGTGGTTGGAGGGGTGATGTTCGTGCTGGGTTTTGCTGGCTGTATTGGGGCACTGAGGGAGAATACATTGCTCCTCAAATTCGTATGTCTTTTTCTCTTTTTGCTTTGTTTTTTTTTTCCTGTTGGTGTAGCTTAATGGAAACTGGGCTTCTGTGGATCAAATCATGATTTGGCTAAGAACTCCCAAGGTGACATTGGGAAGCAGTTCTTTTTCCTACCCTTAGTCCACTTCTCTTTTCAGAAGAAAATAGTCATATTAGTATAGGTTCTTGACTTAGAATCACAAGTGAGTCCAAAATTTCTAATGTTAAGCGAGACAGTTGTTAAGTGAATCTTGGGCCATTTTACATCTTTTCTTGCCACAGTTGTAAGTGAATTACTGCAGTTCTAAAGTTAGTAATATGGTTGCTAAATGAATCTGACTTCCCCATTGACTTTGCTGTCAGAAGGTTGTAAAAGGTAATCACATGACCCTGGGAACACAGCAGCAGCCATAAATATGAATCAGTTATCAAGCATCCGAATTTTGATCACATGACTATGGGGTTGCTGCTGTGGTCATAAGTGTGAAAAATGGTCATAAGTCACTTTTATCAGTACTATTGTAACTTCAAATGGTCACTAAATGAACTGTTGTAAGTTGAAGACTGACTGTGTATATTATAGGATTATGGAGAAAATTCACACATTAGCCCTTTGAGCACTTACAAAACATAATGTGGTAATTCTTAGTGTCACATTATTCTGACACTGGATTTTGGAAACTAGGCAAGGACCTAGAAAGTTTTATGTAGGCTTTGCTGTATGGGAGCATAATAGAAAGTGAGTTTTATTTTGGCACTGGAAGGAAAACAAGACATAATGCTTCGAATTGGTGTATTATGCAGGAAAGGTACGTTTATCTTTGAGAAATGAATAGGATATACAAGTTGGAACAAGGGGCATAATACAGGTTGAAATGATAGTAAATGATAATACACCAGTGTTATTGGTGGAAATTATATTTGTCCTGGGAGATCTGAAGAAAAATAAAGTATTAACTCAATTTCCCTCGATTGCCATGGCAGGAAAACAATATAGAGCTTTGAAGCCATACAGCCATATGAATTGAACTTTAAAAAAATAGCTTACTAACGTAAAAATTAACTAGCAATACAACATTTGTTTTATTTTGTCCTTCAGTGCATCAGCTATCCTCTGACAAAATTTTAAGCAAAGCTTTCTTTCCTTCAACTTGTGCTTGTCTAGTCAATGTGAGAGTGAGCCTTAACCCTGGAGCAGGATATTATACTCCCACACTGATGGGAGATCTTTTGGCCTTGAACACTAATTATGTACCTCTCTTTTGGCACCAGTTCTCTGTGTTCCTGGGGCTCATCTTTTTCCTGGAGCTGACAGCTGGTGTCCTGGCCTTCATTTTCAAGGACTGGATCAAGGATCAGCTCAACTTCTTTATTAACAATAATGTCAAAGCATATCGTGATGACATAGACCTCCAGAACCTCATAGACTTTGCTCAGGAATATGTGAGTTATGTAAATTACCTAGAGCAATATGTCTGTTTGTAATGTTCGTTTATTCTCAGGTGATAGGATGCTTCTTTGGAAAAACTCTGGTAGTAACATGACAGCTTTTGAAATATTAACCAGTCCCCAGTACCCTGGATTTACAAACTAAAGATCTCTTCATGTTATGTGTATATACACATATACATATGTTTGGTCTCTATCCTTTGAGGAAATATTCCCCCCAAAATTCAGCTTCCACTTCTCACTCTTAGATATAGGAGATACCATTTGTATAAATTATTGTGCAGTGTTTCAATATAGAAATGCAAGAGGCTGTTATTGTTACATGCTCTTAAGCCCAATTTTTGGTGTGTTTATTCAAACATTGTTCTGTTCTAAACTACACAAGGTATTGCAGGAGATTATAAATTCTTCTGGATTATGTTCCTTATTTTAAACATGGTACAATAAGGAGTACTACATAGTTATGTAGATGAGAAGGGAGAATTCCAGCGCTGCATTAAATCCCTTGTAGGCACAGGAACAATTATTTTCATAGGTCCTTGTTGTGGTAATAATCCAGATGCTTAGCATTATAGATATATTCCCTGAAGCTACATTATTCAATAAGTCACAAGGGATAAGACACAGTAGGTATCTGCATAATAAAGTAGGAATGATGCCTTAAATACACTTAACTTTAGGATATATGATTTTTGACTTTATTGTCACTTTCCTACTTTGAGATTTTCTTTTTAACTTGAAGTAGTTTCATGGGGGTTTTGTAGGTTTTAGGCAAGACCTACTTAGGTTTTAGGCTTGTTGTCCCCATTGGAAAGTATGCAAACGGACAATTTAGTTGAAAATATCCTTTTATATCATCCATTATTTTTTACTCGTAAATTTGAGAAAAAGTCTGTTTTGTTAAGCATTAAACAAGTTTACTTTCATAGTCTTTTTTTTTTACCTAGAGAAAGGTGAGCAAAAATGTGTTTTGGTGTTAATTATATGATCAACAATATTGTAAAAAACAACAACACAATGCTAAGATGATTTTGATCAGAATGGCAAGATGTTGTTGTTTAATCAGTGTTTAAAACAGTGTTAAAAAGCTTTTCTTTTCAAGAGCTTTTGCATTAATATCTCTATAATTTTTGAGAATGACAAACCTGTGTCCTAGTGCAAATTAAAACATAAATTAAAAAAATAAGTGAAAATCACTGTGCTAACATGGCAATGATAAGGAAGTATGCGCCACAATTTATCACTCAGTATGTCTGTATGTGTATATATATTTATATACATATTTTATATATGTGTGCTTATTGCACACTGAGTATTTAGTCTGAATAAATATTCATCTGACCAGATCCTACTATCTTATTTTGTCACTTTTCACTCCTTAAAAAGAACAAAGCAAATATGGATCATATTTTTTTTCTATTCCAGAAGGGACCAAATGCATAAATCAGAAATTGGATAACAGTACTGTGTAAATGGTAGGGACGTGGTGGCTCAGTGGCTAAGACACTGAACTTGTCAATCGAAAGGTCGGCAGTTCAGCGGTTAGAATCCCTAGTGCCACGTAATGGGGTGAGCTCCCATTACTTGTTCCAGCTTCTGCCAACCTAGCAGTTTGAAAGCACGTAAAAAATGCAAGTAAAAAAATAGGGACCACCTTTGGTGGCAGGTAACAGCGTTCCGTGCTCCTTTGGGGTTTAGTCATGCTGGCCACATGACCATGGAGACATCTTCAGACAGTGCTGGCTCTTCGGCTTTGAAATGGAGATGAGCACTATCCCCTAGAGTCGGGAATGACTAGCACATATGTGCGAGGGGAACCTTTACCTTTATCTGTGTGTAAATACCTCATTAAAATATTTAAGAATAATATCCAGTGAAATATTAGATATATCTTGACAACTTTGTTTAAGCACGTTGTAACCCAGCGGCCCCCAACCTTTTGGGCACCAGGGACCGGTTCCGTGGAGAGAGATTTTTACATGGACCAGAGGCAGTGTGGTTTCGCATGCTGCCTGGATCCCGTGGATTGGGCTTCGCTTGCTTGTGTGGCCTGGTTGCTGGCATACCACCGCCCGGTGCCAGTTGGTGGCCTGGGGGTTGGGGACTCCTGTTGTAACCGATCATCCCTGATACCATTCTTAAATCATGTGAATGTGTGTTTCAGTTTTATGATTTGAACTGAAATACCTTTTTTTCTTAAATTATTTTTAAAGAAATGTAATTGCATTATTTACACAATGGAATTTAGTGTTTATAGCTTTAAAAAGCCAATACGTCAGCATGTTTTTAACTGGGGTTTGGGGGAGGTGTCAAATTCTTTTCACTAGTACTAAAATGCTTTCAAGAACTCCTTTCAAAAAGCTATAAATATAATCATGGGATTTTGCACAAGAAATTTAAGATTAAAAGTGATTAAAATGGATTTTTTAAAATCCTGCACAGACCTGTCACCCTTTCATTTACTTGACTGTGTCACAAACACTCATAATAGAAGGGGCTTGCTGATAACAACACACTATAATGCTCCAGGTGAACCAGATGCTTCTTGAAAATGAGACAGAAGAGTAATTTTAGGGATGTTGTTTCCCACATGCATCAGGTCATCGTTATATAAAAGAGAGGGAAGAACAATAAGGTAAATACAGGAGAGCAGCAATTTGAAAAGCATGATTGCAGACAAACCTCACCAAGTGAGCTAACAGTGCAGAGCAAATAATGAGTGTGGAAGTTCTCCTGTTTCCTGTGGGACTCATCATTAGACAATTAAAAGGTGTGAAGGCCACTCCAGAGGTGAACATGCCATCTCATGGCTGATAATGAACCTGCAACATTGCAAAATTGCTCCCTGTATTAAACCTTACACGTTCTTAAATCATTTCTCCATCTCCTGTTTTTATTTTCAAAACGTCCACGCTGGTCAAAGTTCACTCATTCTTTTTGCTCAGTGCTGCTGTTTTCTGAGCACTCCTTCCAGTCTAACCCTGTCTCCCTCTGCAGTGGTCGTGCTGTGGGGCTCATGGACCTAATGACTGGAATCTCAACATTTATTTCAACTGCACTGACTCCAACCCCAGCAGAGAGCGCTGTGGCGTACCCTTTTCCTGTTGTGTCAAGGATCCTGCGGTAAGGAGTTGAAATATGGAAATAAGTGAGATGGATTCTCACTTTGCTCATCCCCTGTAGACCTAAATAATGTCTGAGCAGGTTTTTTTTTAAGGTCCTCGTGTTAACTAGGAATCTAATTGTGTGAATTGTTAGGAAAATAGTACGTAGATTAAATGCAGCCTTATCCAAAACGATAATTTTAATTTGGAGAACAAGCGTGGTGTAGGGATTGAGCTGTTAAGACTAGGAGCATGGAAACCCAGATTGCAGGTAAGGAGGTAGCAGTATGTATGCTGCTTTGAGCTCCTGTTGGAAAAGGTGGGATACAAATTTAAAACATAAATAAATAAGAAAATGAGTGTCATCCATATATTTGTCATTCCATGGAATTCCTTCACCATGATAGGGCAGAATGGAGGTGGAAAAGAGGAGAAGAGCTAAAGCTGAAGGTAGAAGTTGCAAATTATTTAAAAGCGTATGGAATGAAAAGTAAATGCTGAAGATATTTAGGAGAGAACCAGTGAATCTCTTTTCTGGGTTCCAAGGATGATTTCAATTACTTTTGTGTCTGTTCTTTTGACAGGAGGACGTTCTCAATACACAGTGTGGCTATGATGTCCGCCTTAAACTGGTGAGGGTCAGGTTGGTGTGGTGGGGACATTTAGTGGAAAGAATGAGGTGGCTGTCTGTCCAGAAAAAAGGCAGGGCCAGCATAAGCATAAAGGAATGGTCTGGCAAGGGCACAGGTTCTGAAAAGGATCTGCATGGGAGTATTAAAATGCCACTGATTGCAACAGAGCACATGCATTTGGCCATAAGTTCAAGGGAAAGCCTCTAATTAGGCTACAAAAAATTCTACTGGATTTTCTGAATTTGGGCTGGGGGGGAAGTGATTACTGCACTTTGTGCTGCTTTTAGAGTTCTTCAGGTGCTCTCCTGTACCTTTTTTGCAGGAATTGGAGCAGCAGAGCTTCATTCATACTAAAGGGTGTGCTGGTCAATTTGAGAAGTGGCTCCAGGACAATCTCATTATAGTGGCAGGGACCTTTGTAGGTGTGGCACTTCTACAGGTATGAGCTTCCATGTTACTGAGAATTCCCTCTTCAAGGAACCCCGACGTGGAAATTCTGTCCATCCATCCATCCATCCATCCATCCATCCATCCATCCATCCATCCTTGATGTGCAACTTTCCTAGGACTCTAGGCTGCAATTTCATCCATTGACCAGGAGAACAGCCAGAAGTTATCAGAAATACAGTGATCTTACAGAAGGGGAAAGGACCAATTTTGGAGTGAAAATAGGAAGTTTTAAAGTAGTAAACTGTTTTCATTGTTGCTTTTATGAACCTTCAATTCCCCCCGACCTCAAAATGATACTACCACCATACTATGGTGCCTAAGTTTGATAACTAGTTTTATCCTATTTAGAGCATTTTACTGGAAGATTAACTCTGTTCTCTTGCCACATACTCTGACAGAGCAAGTACTTAGTCCAAATGAAATTCTATTGCACACGTGTTCAGGGTGGATGTGATATTTTTTCATTACTAGAAGGTTATTCTTATGACATCTGGAAGATTAGGAAGGCTGGTGTATTGGGTATTTGTGTGCCACAATAACAAACATTTCACAAGCATGTCTTCAATTTGTATTTCAGATATTTGGTATCTGCCTGGCACAGAACCTAGTGAGTGACATCAATGCTGTGAAAGCCAATTGGTGACACCAGAAGAGAGATTTTGCTGTCTCCTACAGATTCCCAGATCTCTTGAAGGACTGAAGCCAAGTCTTCAAGCTACAACCACTGGGTGCTGCTAAGCCATCAACAGGCTCCTATTGGGGGTTGAGGTGGGGTCACCAGTATTAATAACTACCTGATGCCTTTCCATAGCTTTCTCTTCCTGACTGGGGCACATATGTCATGTAAATAGTATTTATGTCAGGTTTCTGGAGATTCCTTTGACCCACTGCAAAAACAGAGGAATTAGAAGCACCTCTTATGCATATAGCCTAGAAGCAGCTCTGGATTTTGTTGTGTGACCACCGGAGGCCCCTATTGATGAGGTAGCATGGCTCATGTGGCTTCTACTGAGGAAGCTAGTGGAAACAATGTCCTAATCCTGCTGCCTGGAGCAGCTTCACACTTATACCTGTCCTAGGCCTCTACTTGAATTCTCTACACTCTACTCACCGTCTACTCTGCTCTCCTGCTTAAACAGGGAGATTAAGCCTGAGTTCCCTTGTTCAAATTAGAGTTACATCTTATTTTGTGGATCATACTGTTGGTTTCTGCTATTGTCCTAAGAGGTCAGAAACAAGCTATTGGGAAGATGCTATCATATCTCGTTGGGGGCAATAATCTTCAGCCTTGATTTTTAAGGCTTAAATTCTGGCAGATGTGGATTCCAGTGGCAGTAAAGCCTATCAGAACCAAACAAATCAATTCAGTCCAGTTCACAAATAGTAAACCAATGGTGAACTAAAATTTTCTCTATTAGTTTAGAAATACATGACACTGTTAACAGAAATGAATCTGTTCTGAGCATTTGATTGCACCCGTTTGTACATTACAGAATCTTACAAGTTACTTGAACTTAGAAGGTAAATTTGGATATGTCTAATCAGCCCCATTATTTGTGTGACAAATGTGCAGTCTTTTGTATGCAATATCTATTTCTCTGAAGGGCCCACAAAGAGAATTCTAGACCTCTTGAACCAAGTTTTGTCCTTGGCTGGATATAATGCAACCTTTTGTTCCAGTAGTTGGCTCATAGCCTTGCAGAGTACTTGTGTTTCATGGAATGGCACAATATTGAGAAAGATTTTGCACTGATACATTTCTCTGCACTGCTATAATGTAGGTTCCACTACTTCCTTTATTTTTGGTAGGAGTTTATCGTCATCTCCCTGGACTCTGTTGCCGGCAGGATTGTTCAAGAGTATGTTGCCCTACTCTTCCTCATAAAGTACTTGTTAGCACATGTTTTTCGGGGACCTTTTCTTTACTTTATTGAGCCTGGCTGACAATTCTGTTGAAGAGGACCAATTTGATTTGGGACCAGTTTGTGTCATGGATGTGAATTAGATGCAGTGGTATTCCTTATGGGGAGGGTGGGGATTGATTTGTGATTGAATTTTTAATCTCCCATTTTGTACTGGAATTTACAGGCTCATCTTCACATGCCCCCAACCACGGCTTTAAGTCTGCCCCAGTAACTGTTTTTATGTGATTAATCCTTGTGAAGTTGTTTCTGCATAATCACCAGCACGCAGCTGAAGCAGCTTAAATTTGTCCTTAGTATTCCAGTTCTAAAATAGGGTTTTCCCTATTTTCCCAAGGCAGTTTTTGCTACAACAGACACTGACTCAGTTCAAATGTGGTTGCTGATGTTGTCAAGAAGGAGATCTGTCCAGCTTCTACTTGCTTCCTTCCTTCCTTATTGCTAGGAATTGCCCTCCATACCATTTTAGCTGGTGCAGGAGGAACTGGGCATCTGCAGAGAGCTGTGAATGCACAATGCCCAACAGGTCCTTTCTGTGGTGCTGGTCAGGTTTTACCTAGGATCTTTTGTACCCAAGTCTAGAGCTTTTGAAAGAACTAGGCTTGTGTTTGGAAAATGGGACTGGTATCTTCACGAAGAAGTGCTGGATCTGCATTGCATCAAAGTCCATTTATACTGGGAAAGAATGGGATTCAGCTCTCTGCGCGTGTTACTGTTCAGTAAGCAAATGAGTGCATTACATGCTTTCTGTTGCATTTGTACATAAACACTGCTGCTTCCTTCCCACAAACTTAGTAGAGTTTTCTGTACTTGGTGGGTAGGAGACAGTACTGTTGTTTATATCGGTTGTACTTTTCTGCCACAGCCAGGGATTTGCAGAATGAACTTTAATGCGGCCCTCTGGCTGTGCTCCAAAACTACTGCATGTTCTGACTGCAGTGGCAGCTTTTCTCCATGTGAGGATGCTCTTGACTAGCATTCCTCCAATTTTCAGTTTTACCTGAAAGGAAGACTTTTCCCTAAATAATGTAACTTCTAAATGTGGATTTCCTGAGTATTTGAAACAGATGACGTCTAATCTTTTCTGGGATATGTTCTAAAATTCAGGGTCACCTTTTTGTTAGAACATCCTGTGGGGCTCTGCATCTGTTTGTGTGTGTGTGGTTTGTTTGGGGTTTTTTTGTGTGCTGAACTGTGGGGAGATGCACTCTACGCGGATGGCTGTGACCGCATGCATGCGAGGAGGGAGGGTGGTGGAATGAAAAAGCTTAGCGGATTCCCACTTGCCCTGGGTCTCCTATTTCCTGTCGTCTCTGACAGCTGAAACCCGTGGGATGATGTACTTCGCAGCAGCATCCTTTCCCCACCCACAAAAGAAGAGAAAGCCATTATGAAGCTGTCAACATGTATGAAAATGAAGCCCACTGCATATGCAAAAGTTATAACCTATCTACGATATGTTAATCAGAGACCAAAGGATAACTTGCTAAGCAGATTTACTTTCACATCTTCCACACTTGACTGTTGTAAACGTTCTTGGGCTTAGTAATAAGATGCACATGCAATGAAAGTACAGGCTGCCTTGGCAGCTAACGTCTGCTGCTGCTGCTTTTTTCTTTTTTTATTATTCTGTTCATTTGCATCTTGCTAGTTTTCTTGCCGGTCTTTCTTCCTATGTTTGACTTGATAGTCTTTTTTTTCACCTTAACTCTCTCACTTCCTTCGCATCCTCTTGCTGCTATGTGTTTTACAATACAATACTAAAACTATTATCCCAAAATTGAAAAGAGTTTTTAAAACGTAAAGCCTCTTTAATTACTGTAATGCGTGTTTCGAGTTGGGTGATCAGGCTTCTGCTCTTGATCACTTTTCAAGACTCAGGTTTGTGTATCACTGATCTTACTGCAGCATCTTTTTTCAGTTTGAAATGCTGCCAATCATACATTGGTTTGGTTTTATATATTTCCTTGGTAGAAGAAAGTCAGATTTTTAATTTAAAAATGGTGTGTGATGATCTCGTGCTCTTTTTCTACTGTCAAAAGCTTTTTTCTTAAATTTTCTTTTCCATCTGGGCTGCTAAATATTAACAGGTGACAATTACAAGATTATTAGCAAATTTTTAACTGATTTTATGTTAAACCTGTCCAGATAATTTAAAAATAGAGCAAACAGTCCTCTTGAAATAAAATAAATAAGAACATCTATAGTAGCCATTCTGCAGTTATGACTGCAAGATGACTTAATATGAGGAAAATTGTATAAGAACAAGATAATTAATTGCAAAGGGGAAGTGCTTTGGTTACTGTTGGGGCAAAAGAAAGTTGTTTTGTGTCACCATTTAAAATCAACATTTTTAACAGTATTGGTGTTTATGGACTGGAATGTGCTTGATTGAATGCAAAAGGTGTTGGCACTGATGTATTTCTTTTGGATGTAGATTGAAAAAAAAACAAGTCAAATGCAAATAAAATATAAACAGTCTGGAATGATGGTTCAGTTATCATACACAAAAAGTGCAGTTATCAAGTGCAAAATAAGCAGCAGCAGCAGCAATGGGAGGTCATTTACCTGCTTATGTTATGTTTGAATGAATAGACACACACTATAAAATACAAACAGAATTAGGTAAAAAGTAGAAAAGATGAAATAACACAAATACCTATACAAAAGTTCCAAGAGTGGAAATTTGGATGAGTTTTCTGTACCTGAAAAATAATGGAACATTGTGGGAAAATCTGGCATCTGGAAGCCCATCAAGAAAGAATTTCAATTATGCTTAGCATCACTTAGACAATATAAATCAATAAGAAATAAATGCTTTTTAATTATTTGAATTCTGCTTAAAGGCAATTGTTCAGCTAAAATGTAATATCTTCTGGTAATGTGAAATATCCAGATTGTAAATCGCTGCCTAGGTATTGATAATGCATTAATATTTCAGGCCAATATTTCAGGCAGCAGTTAGCACTAAACATATTTTAGAACAAGCATCTAATGCCAAACATACATACAATTTGTGTCTTGTGCTCATGGAGGAGGTGGGTACAGGATTTGGGGTTCCATTATTTCAAAAACCATAAATCGAAGTCCGCAAAAGATTGGGGATACTCTTTCCAACCTTGTTTTTCTGTGGGCCTATCACTAAAGATAATGGTTTCAGCTGTCATGGTTAACCACCAAAATGTACTTTGGTAAAATTATTGAAATGAAAGCATAACATGTCCCTTGGTGAATTACAGCACAGGGTGTCCCCAAAACAAGAACTAAATCCAGTGTAGATCAGGTATAGTCTGAAATTTACAAATAGGTCTCTTTGATTTGTAAAAGATACTAATGACTCTCATCTAATCTTTCTCATACACAAGATTATTTCTTTTGGATTTGGCAGGAATAATGGGGACACCATATAATGGAGCTTGAGATTCTGTCACCCACCAGGATAGGTGCTACTGCTACATTTAAAGCTCTACAGGGCTTGGGCCATTTTTTATTTTTTTTTGCAGGACCAGCCCTTTCTGAGGTCTTCTGCACACCCAGGTCAGACACAATGGGTGCGCTCCAGATGTCTTCCCTTAAATTTTGCCATCTGATAGGATTGCAAAGACACATCTTTTCTGTGGCTATCTCAAACCTTCCTAACATCTCCCATCCTCTGAGATTTGGAGGGTCCTCACTCTACTAGCTTTTTGGAAGGCGATGAAGACCTTGTTCTTCACTTGGGCATTGGGTTGGGATGGGAATGAACCCAACAAAAGTAGAGGTAGTGTGATGTTACGGCATGATGATGGAATATGTGATGCTGTTGCAGGGTTTACGGGTTATACAGGTAAGCCTCAAATTAGGACCACAGTTGAGCCCCAAATTTCTGTTGCTAAGTGAGACATTTGTTAAATGAGTTTTGCCCCCATTTTGCGAACTTTCTTGCCAGAGCTGTTAAGTGAATCACCCACAGGTGTTAAATTGTCACACGGTTGTTAAGTGAATCTGGCTTCCCCATTGACTGCTTGTCAGAAGGTTGCAAAAGATGATTGCATGACCCTGGGACACTGCAACCGTCATAAATATGAGTCAGTTTCCAATTGTTTGAATTTTGATCACATGCCTTGGGGATGCTGGAAGGGTCGTAACTCTGAAAAATGGTCATAAGTCATGTTTTTTCTGTGCTGTTGTAACTTTGAACAGTCACAACTGTTGTAAATCAAGGGCTACTTGTATTCTGATCTAATGGAATATTGTGCGATGCCTAAGATTATCAAGTATATAGTAGATTGCCATATAGCCTAAACCTGAACAGAACCACTTGTGGTGGGGTGAGAGAAGTAGACCACTGCTGGTAAAGATCTTCCAGAAGCCACACTCTGCATGCATTTCTTTTTTGATAATTTTTCCAGTGAAATAGTGTAAATAAATTTTGTAAAAAAAGGGGGAAGACTGTCATAAGAATGGAAACTCTTGGAACAGGACCAAATTTAGTGTGTGTGTATTTGTGTGTGTGGGTAGGAAGAAGCTGGCAGAAAACCCTATGTTTGAAAATGGGTCAGATCTGGTGGAGAGCGGTGGAGAAAAACATTCCAGAAAAAGAAACACCCACCCAAATGCTTCTCCTTGGGCGAGGCAGTTAAGTGGCAGCATGAAATGCTTTTGACTGCTATATTCTATGCCCTCTCCCATTCATATATTTGTTTTATTTATATGACCACTCAGACATGTAACTCTGGCAGGTTTCCAATTTACCAAAGCAAGGGCGGGAAACCCAAACCCAAAGAAATATGTAACCAAACAAAGATAAACTAGTCCAATACAGAAGGGGAAAAACAATCAAAGGCACCATGTACTAACTCATAAAAGAGATACATCTGTATTGGGCTCACCTAACATCCTGGTTCCAGCATCTGAAGAAAAAGCCATCTGTTATTGGCCTTCCAGGGATGCCCCAAGTGTTGGGCCCTCTGAATCTCAGTAGGGAAGCTGAGCAGAAAGTAGACCTGTTTCCTCAATCCGATAAGATGCTGCTGCTTAATAGAGCGTGCCTAGAGCACGGGTTTCAAACTCAAGGGCCACAGGCTGGATCCAGCCCGTGATGTGGTCGGATCCAGCCCACAGGGCCATCCTGGTCTACCCAATGCGAAGAGCAAAATCAGGCCAACGTAGATTTGGTCCAGTCTATTCAATGAGAAGGGGAAAGATCAGACCAACATAGATTCGGTCCAGTCTACCCAATGCGAAGAGGAAAGATCAGGCCAACATAACTTTGGTCTAGTCTACCCAATGCGAAGAGGGAAGATCAGGCCAACATAGCTTTGGTCCAGTCTACCCAATGCGAAGAGGGAAGATCAGGCCAACATAGCTTTGGTCCAGTCTACCCAATGCGAAGAGGGAAGATCAGGCCAACATAGCTTTGGTCCAGTCTACCCAATGCGAAGAGGGAAGATCAGGCCAACATAGCTGTGGTCCAGTCTACCCAATGCGAAGAGGGAAGATCAGGCCAACATAGCTTTGGTCCAGTCTACCCAATGCGAAGAGGAAACATGCCAGCAGTTTAGGGAGTGGCATCAAGCTGGCCACGCCCACACAGCCACACCCACCCAGTTGGCCATGCCCTCCTGGCCTCCCAAGGTCAACCACAGCCCTGATGTGGCACTCAATGAAATTTTGACACCCCTGGTCTAGGGCATGCCCACCCTTTAGAATGGGCATACACTCCCAGGAATAGATGTTCTTCAAGTAAAGTGGTGCTGTGCCATGAAGGGCTTTGTAATGAAATGTGAGAAAGACCTTGGGATACGGGCGAAGAGATGCTGCCAAGGGATCGGGGAAGCATAGCCTGCAGCTACATAATTGGAAGGGCAAGAAGCTCAGAAGAGACCTTTCTTAGTTTCTCAGGCAATAAAGGAGACCGGGGGGGGGGGGGGGGATTGTACTTTGAGACTTGCAAGAATCGTAACCAGATGAGCTAATTCTACTTTATTGTAATGCTACATTGACAGAATCTTATCCGGCTGTTCCCTTGGTAGCATGTCTTTACCCAGCCCCCCCTAGGGTTTTCCCACAATACATTTATCAACTTTCATGAGCACAACCAATAGTGCCTATACTATAACCCAGCCAAAAGGGATCCAGGGAATCTGCTTCTTCCAGGTCTCCTTGAAGCTGTTCACCTACCACCTTCTCAGCAACCTGCCCTAAAAAGGAGAAGTTGGATATTGGATATAAATTATCCAATGCTATTAGGTCCAAGGAAGGCTTCTTAAGATTTATTTTATTTTATTAGTCATATTTCTATGCCGCCCACTCTCCGAGGACTCTGGCCAGCTTATACCAAAGACAGTATACTAAATAACATATTGCCCCCAACAATCTGAGTCCTCATTTTACCCACCTCAGAAGGATGGAAGGCTGAGTCAACCTTGAGCCAGTGAGATTTGATCCGCTGATCTGCTGAACTAGCAGTCAGCTGAAGTAGCTGCAGTACTGCACTCTAACCACTGTGCCACTTTGGCTCATAATATGATTATGAGATGATAGACCACCCCGACTTTAATTGCAGGTAGAAACATCCGTCTCACAACACAGCATTTATTATCACTTGGACCCAAGTACATGCCGCCTCCTGGCTGGCTTTGATCAACCAGGAAGGATGTGAGCTTAAAACAGATGGCAGAACTCATAGCCCCAGGGACCCCATGTGCTTAGCACTAGCTGGCTGGAATTCATCCCAGATAACCTTGCAACACTATGTCTCAATCACCTCTGTGGATCTGCCCAGGTAGAGTCCATCTCTGTGCAGATGCAAGCAACTTAGTTGCATAGATGCCTGGAATAGTCCTCATGGCTTATAAGCCGCCCTGAGTCTCCGGAGAAGGGCGGCATATAAATCAAATAAAAAAAAAAAAATGGCAACCTTGCTTGCAAGGTCTCCCTTGTCCCCTGTTTATAGAAGGGGCCTGGTTACCAAAAATAGGACTGACTCTGTAGACCCAAAAAAGATTCAGAAAGCAATCCTAATAAATGCTCGTACCTGTGTTAGGTTAGAGTAATTCCTTTTATCTTCCTTTGATGCTAGAGGTGTGATATGTCAGCTCTTTAAGCTCCTTGGAAAATTGAGAAGCTCCACAATTATAGAGAACCTGCACAATTCGGATCTGATCCAAAGCTGTTGTCAGCTGCTCATTTAAGGCAATGACTAAGGCCTTGGCTGGAGTGTACAACTTAAGTTCCCTCTGGAAGACCATTGGGTCCATCAGTCACCTGGGGCTGTCCAATGAGATAAATCCTTCCCTGCAGTGTGGTGCAACTAAAGAATCCAGAAGCTTAGGCAGTGAAGCTGCTATATAGGATGAAGGCTAGTATATGAACAGTAATCTCATCTGATTAGCCTTACGGCCCAGCTTCACAAAGATTTCACATCTTCCAAGCAATGCTCCTGAAAGTCATCAGAGTTTTCTGGTTGACAGCAGCCATATCCCCATATTTGATCCAAAGTGAT